TGTTCACAGCCATCTTCTCGTTGGAGACTCTGAGAGATACGATCGAAGATCTGGCGGTCAAGGCGGAAAAACTCGTGCTGGCGACGACGACGACGACGAACGAGCGGGGATCGAACGACCCGGTTCTCAACTTCGAGCTTGCGGACGCGGACGTTCGAAGTTTCGTCAACGAGGTTGTCGACGATCCGCGCAACCCGTTGAGGAACTGGTTCGTATTTTGCAGTTACGCGAAGAGCTTGGGTTCTCGTCGGTGATCCGTCCGCTGCGGCTTCTCACGGAGGTCGGCGAACGAAACTCGGCGTTCCCGGCCGACGCCGACGTCTTCCAACCGAGCTTGTGGAAGAGGTTGCGCTCCAACGGAACCAACCTGCCACCGTGCGTGTCCGAGTCGACTATGCTCCACGAGCCGGACAGGGACAAGGTGATCAACGTGTTTCCTCTCTTCTCCGGTGCGCACGACGACCGGGAAGTGGAAGACGACATCCGGATGGACGAGAACAGGATAAGGCGGCAGAGATTGCGGCGGTGCGTCGAGGAGGTCGTCGGCGACAACGTTCCTCGCTTCGTCTACCGACGCACTCTTCCCGGAGATCTCGAACTCGGAGTCGTCGACATGGACGCGACGGACGCGTGCGCCTGCACCGTGCTCTGATAGATACAAAAAAGGTTCATAAAGCGTCCGTTATCGATACCTTCTCTCATAACGCGATCGAAGTTAGCACGGTGAAGATCACTATTCGAGAATGTCGACAACCGAAAGCAGCGAACGTCGTATGCGCCTGACCCTCCGCGACATACACGGAGGATACGAAGTGTCTATCATCGACGAAGACGTGGAGAGATTTACCGACTGGTCATATTCGATCTCCTCGTATTTTACTCTCAAAGACGGTGTCGACGTCGAATACAAGCTGTACTTGTACGTCGATCACACGTTCGAAGAAGGTGCGTTTGGACGCGAGTTGTGCCAGCTGAAGGGAAGCACCACGCTCCAGTTACGCAACGGCGTACACCTGCAATGTCTCGTGCCGGATCTGAACAGGGAGGTATACTTAGATAAGGACGACACTCCGGTCGCCGCCATCCTGAGAAATGGGAACAAAGTTGTCGCGCAAGTCGGCAAGCTTTTCGACAACCTGTCTTGGACCAACCTGACTGTCGAACAGATCTCCAGGAGTCAGAGTTTCATGACCCTCGTTCGTGCCAACGAAACTTCCAGAGGT